GAGAGAGATGCCCCAGTAGTTGCCGCACTCCATCGTGTCCCCCTTCTTGAACGGCACTTTGTTGGTGGCATCCTTCCACTGCTGTGGTACTTCCCCCGTCTGTCACACGTCCACGACAATGGCGTGGAATTCGCGGAGGAGACCTTGATCTCCGTCCAGGAAAAGCTTGATCAGCTCAGCCGGTAGGTCGTCCGGCCCGACGGCCTTTCTGTTGGCCATTTCCCGTACCGCTTCCTCAACCTCAAGAAGAGATGGGATGTCGTCGAGTGGCACGCACGTGGGCCACCGCTTGACCTTGTCAGCCGCATGCAGGTCGATGGTCGGCGACTTGGTGTTGAGAAGCTTGTGGAACCACCGTGCCCACCGTTGGCGAATAAACGTGGGGTCCCGAAGGACCTTGCCGTCCTCGTCCTTGATGTTCTGAGAGGTGAACGACCTCTTACCTTCGACGTCGATCATGTTCAGGTGCCTGTAGAAACCCGCCTGATCCCCCTCGCGGCTCTTCTTCTCGAGCTGCCGTACATCGCCCTCGAAGAACGTTTCAGTGCTCTCCACCTCGCGATGCTGCGCTTCTTCCGCGCCGCCTTGCATCGCCTTCAGGGTCGCCTCGAAGGCGCTGTTCTTTCAGGCCCCACGCAGTTGCTGCTGGGCCGCCTTAATCTCCTTGGACGCTTCGGAGATCTCTTGCTGCGCTTCGCTCGTGTACCAGCCTCTCTGCCCTCGTGCGCACCTCGCCAGCGGCGCGGTCTCAGCAGCGGCCGATATCACCGTAGCCGTCAGCTCGGCGGCGGTCTCTCCCGTTGGCCGCCTGAGCGCCGTGGGCGAAGGGCGGCTGGAGGCCCTGTTTTGGAAGGCGACCCGTAGATGTTTGTCCTTCCTCAACAGCTCGAGGTCGATACGGATCCGGCTGCTTCCGCTGTTCCCCCGCACTCGTCGGTTGGGTGCGACATGGGGGGGGAGGCGGACAGTCGTAAGCACGAGGTTGTGGTCAGAGTATTTGAAGTCGACACGTTTGACGGAGACATTACGCACGAAACGCCGGTCCGTCTGGCGCATGAGGATGAAGTCGAGGCGGTACTTCTCCTTCCCCGTGTGTTCACCGCCGCCGTCGTACATGTATTTTCGACTCGCCGTGTTACCGTCTTAACGTTTTCGCAAACAAAGACAACTTTTCCGAAGAAACCAGACAGACTGCAGAGAGCGCCATTCGCCACTTGCACGCACATGTGTGGCGGGCACGATGAAATTCTTGCATACAGCAGTAGACTCCAATAACATCATATGCATTTGCGAGGGAAGGGATTGCTGTACCCTTCCCGCGATAAAAATATCTCAGGCAGGCACCGCAGGAGGTAGACGGGGACTAAAAAAGAAGAAAAACCCCGGCGTGGATACCCTCTCCTGTGTAACCCCGGACGGTGCGTCTAGCCAGTTATAGTGTACTAGTACAAGGTACGCTGAGACGTGTAGTAAGTGCACGTGCAGATGGGACGAAAAATGTATAGTCTATAGTCTATACTGTGAAGACTCTACAGAACGCGCCACCACAAAGTACCTAGGAGTTAAGAACTTGAGCCTCAAACAATCCAAAAAATTGAACTTGGACATAGCAACAGGTGCTCAGTTCCGACGTGGCATTAAGGACAAGAACATGCCCTCATGGTGTACCAATGCGCATAGACTACATACAGATAAGAACGGAGCCCCAAAACGCGGCGGCTGCAAGATAAAAGAACTCAGTCAGGACGGTTGTTTCAGATTCGAGGCGGGGGCGGGCAGAGGACCTCGTGATAAAATGATTGTACGCCTGACGCGCGGAGGGGGAGGGCGCATTCTCTCTCATGTTCCGCATGCCTCAGAGGTTAGACCATTGACCACACGTCCTCGAGAGGACGTATATTTTGCCCACAGGACCGATCACCGATGGTCAATCATCCTTCGTATTCTTCGGAGTGCTTTGCCAAAGGTGACTCAATAATCTCTTCCCTACAGCAGTAGTAGTCTACATATCTCGATACCACTTCCCGCCTTTCAACCCACATGCTATGCCCCAGTATAGCTACCGTCTTCTCCTGACTATTCCACGCCTCAACCATACCCTTGTACCTTTCCTTCTACGTGTCCAACTCATTCACGTACGTACATGTCTCTACCCTTCCTTGTCGCCCACCACGGACTTTTCCCAACGACACGAACAAACCCGGTCTTCGCACTCGGAGCCGCATGCACAGTCTATATTTGAACTTGTCGCATTCCTTGTCTTCCTTCCCGATTCTTCGTCAACGTTCTCAAAGGCGGTTGGCGCCAGTCCGAATTTCGACCGTCGGCTTTGTCCCTTCATCCATTGGTTGGTCCGTGTAGGTACCGTTCCTTCTTTTAACATCCGTACACATCTAGACCCTCTTTCTCCTTGGATCCTTTTTTTGTTTGATTGTGTTCTCATTCGGCATAAATATCAGATTTCTTGTTGTCGAACCCCTACAGGCCTATCGTCCGTTTCCAATGAACTCGATACCTACCGTTCGTTTCCAACGTGTTAGCCATCGATTTTGAACTATTCCATACGTCCTCTACAACCTTAATCCACTCCCTGGGTTTTTACCCCTATTCTTGTTTGTCCTCTTCGCCTCCAGAGCTTCTCTCGGCAACCTCTCCTCTCCCATATCGTAGTCTACAACATACGGTACTTGTTGCCATTAGCTTCCGTACGCCTCTTCCCGATCGTAGGAGTTAGATACTAAGGGGGTGCATACTCTGTTTTGGAAGCCCTAGCGGATATACCATTGACCACGCGTCCTCGACAGCACGCAGCCTTATTCCCACAGAACAGATCACTGATGGCCAATCAATCGTTTGATCCTACCTTGCCAAAATGGTGGCTCAAAAATGTTGTCCTTCGTCTTATCTATCCTATCGATATCAGTTCCCGCCTTTTCAACCCATTTCCTGTGCCCCAGTACAGCTACCACCTTCTTTCTCCTGACTATTTCACGTAGTAAAACATGTCTCGTAATAATAGTTTTTTTAATCGTTTTTTTTCTGCGAAAATTGTAGCCCGTTGAGGGGTACGCTTTTTGTTTCGCAAAAAAAAAGGTGTTTAGAGGGATCGTGTGTGGAGTTGTTGTTGTTTGTTGTTTCTCACATTAGCTCTAAAAAAGAAAGATTGGGAGCCCGTGGTCTCAAAACC